TAATATTTAAACTTGCTTTATTTAAATCAAATTTTAATTTATTCAATATTATCTTCAAATTCTTCGTCTTCACGTGATGATAATAATATAGATGATTTAAATAATTCAATATCTTCTTCTATTGTTGGATCATCTATTTCTATTAATTATAATTCATATTCAGTTTTTGGTAATAAATCAATTATATTTGCTTGATAATTTTCAAGAAAATTTTTCATACCCCAACCAATGTAGATATTTTTAAAATGATAACGATCACCAACAGTATATGCACCTGAAAAAATAATGATCAATAAAAAAAAAAAAAAAAGTGTTTTAAATGTTGACTTAATTAAATTTTAAATATTTCTAAAAGAAAAAGTAACGAGCGTCTTGTAAATTTCGCTGCATACAATGGGCTGCTAGATGATCACATTGAATACAGTTTATTACCCCTAGTTTCAAGTGAAATAACATTCAGTTTTTTTATCTATAATACAACAGTTCATGCTATTAGACATTCTGTCTCGATTCATGGTTATTATTAATGAACTTTTAGTCTATGACAAGATATCACGAGAGAAAGTGCAACAATGAGTTTCGCTCGGAAGTTCTCTTCAATAATTGCTTTTGTAGTCCTTATGATATCCTAAAACACATATCCATTTAAAGACTGAAACTTTAGAAAAATGATCATAATCTGATACGAAAAAAAAAACAGTTTATTTTATTATTTTTTAATTTAGACTATTCAGTTAACCCTTAAAAGTCGGAAGGCCTTATCGTCGCAATTTGAACAAATTACTCGGTAAAACAGAAGGTGTAGTATCTCAATAAGAATCATTGATAATAAAGACAAAAAAAAAATTTTTCTTATGGAGATATAAAATGTCCCTTGGAAGGGACATTCGGTCGTAACGGTCCAAAATTTTTCACTGTTATCAATTTATGTAAAAGCAATTTTTTCTTTAAAATACCTCTATTTATATGTTTCTTATTACTCAAGAAACTAATTCAAACAATATTTTACAATTTTTCAAAATTTACACACTATCGGTTTCAATGTAAGTCTCGCTCATGGGGTTATCGAAGTATGGCGTAGCCAATATGAGTGAAGAAAACAACAATCATTTTACGCTTGTACTTGTAGTTTTACTGCATCAAGAAAGCAGTTGTCGAATGCTTTATTACAGCAGAATCAGAACTATCGTAAGTGGTTTAAAAGCAACCAAGGTCGGCCTTCTCACCGAGAACAGCCAAAGTCATATGAAAATCATGGACAATTTCGATAGTCAGATAAGATTGTAGCCTTCTCTTGATTCCTTCTGTACAACAGTATTTAGTAGAATCAAAAATAAACAAAAAGTCGCTCGCGTAGTATTCATACATTGTTAAAACTTTTCGGCCCGTTAAGACCGAATGTCCCTTCCAAGAGACATTTTCTTCATACTATCACTATGTATCAACAGGTAACTTAAAAATTTAGGGAACAGTTTCATTCGGTAGCTTGCCTTTGTGCCTCTCAGAAAAGCCAAAATTCACGCTAATTAACGCTATATTTACGAAAAGGCATACATTGCAAAATACAAAATTGCATTTTAAAAATTCATGCATTTTCCAAAACCTGCTGCGTCCCCTGAAAGTCGATTTTAAGAAATTTCTTTTTCACTCTATACTCTATTAGGTCATCAAAGTCCAAAAAAATATTGGTCCATGTCTCAACGATTTTTTTACGTCTCCTATAGCGTTTTTTCAAATGTCCCTTGGAAGAGACATTCGGCTCTTAAGGGTTAACAACCATCATGAAGTCTCACCTTTGAAAAAATCTACATATGTGTGCTCATGGATATAAGAAGGAAATTATTGTCTACATGAAAACTTTTTAATACAGAAAATCAGCTAATAAAGTTTTTCTATTTTTAGCAATTAAAGTACATCGTTAACTTTTGTTTTGTTTTCCTTAATATACATAACAAAAATTGTTTGCTACAAGTCGTGACGGAACTGTCGAAGACATTGGCGATCATTACACTGGAATTGTCTATCCCTAGCTTTACATCTATCACTCTCAACAATTGTACTATGATTTTAGGCAACCAGTACTATTTTCTTAGAAAAATGAACAATATCTAATATGAAAATTTTTATGTCTTGATTCAGTTATTATAAATCATTTCTGATATAACTCCGTACTAAGAATGTCAATGTTATTTGATGACGGATGAAATTAGATTATTTTTGGTATCATATTATTCTGAATGAATAGTAGTCTTGCGTTTTTCCCGTTTCGTTGGTAAATATATGTATTTCATATTGATTCTAGGAAAATTTTATTTTAGCGACAGATTCTGTACATCTGCAAAGTTTAGTTAAAAAAATTTCCCTTTGAAAACCCTAAGATCAGTACTTGTTGCTTTTTTTTTTAGTCTCATAATATTCAAAAACAAATCAAGAATATAAAAATCTAATGACAACATTAGATCAGATTAAAACACGGCAAGTATTTCTTCGAGTCTCACTTTATATAATTTCAATAGAATTCCTCTGGACTCGCATATTTATAATGTTCAAATTCATTTCATATACATCTTTAGATATATTAACAAATCATACAAAACACAAACCTGACCATCGGTTTGATCGAGCATAAATCAATGTATATTCAGGAATAAGAGTAGAAGTCATACCAATGGACTATGTAGGATATAATCCGTGGATTGAAATATCTTTGTTAATAGAAGATAATAAATGAGGATCTTGTTCAATAGATATTTTTTGAATAGTTGATTTTCTTTCTTCTTGATTTTCATTATGTTCTTTGGATAAAAACAATTAAATTGAATATGAAAGTTTGGTAAACTTACAATGAAAATATAGATTTCGACCTTATTTATAAATATATGCAACATCTAGAAAAAAATTTTATTAAGAAATTTTTATTTGTTTTTCTTACAATGAACCCAATATTGACCATGAGATAAAGCAAGATCTTCAAGTCTATTTCCTTCAAAGTTAGTATTTATATCAAATTTTATTTGATGTACTAAAATTCAAAAAAAAACATTTGAGTTTGTCATATGATTCTAACTATCCTACGATTCATTGTTTCTTCATCCATATCTTCTTCTTCTTCTTCTTCTTCATCATCATTAACTGAAATTTTAAAATAATTTTTCCGTCGGTATCTATTATGAAAGCAAAAAAACAAAATACAAGAAAAGAAAAATAATAAGAATATACCTAAGTACTAGCAGTAATTCATTGAATTTTTGCATGTAATAAATGTTTTTTAATACCTGGAAAATTTAATTCGCATATAACAGGTGCTTCAAGATCATCAGTAAAAAATCGTTGAATTCTACGAGATAATTCAATCTGTTCTGGTGTTACCATTGGTAATTGTACAAAAGGTTGATTAACTAAGAAAATTGTTGAACAAAAATAAAAATTCTCAAGAATATTCTTTAATTCCAGTTGATACATGGAAAACTTTTTGATTAACACTATAATCAAGTTGTTCAGATGGTACTTTTTCATTGAAACTTAACATGGTATCATCAAGTTCATTTTCTTCTTCAGATGAAAAAATCTCTTGATATTTAACAAATTCAACATCATTTAGATCAACATTATCACATGTATCAAAATCAGTTTCAACAATATAATAATTATTTTTTTTGTACCAAAAAGCTTGTTCCAAAAACGTAGTTTTTGAATGTTAATTTTTTCTTTCAAATAAAATTTTCATTGACAGTCAAATCCTTTTGAATAATAAAATTTAGATGCAAAAATTCTCAAATTATAAATTTTTTTTTTTTTTATACCAATAGATTTCATCTTTATTTAAACCAATACCAATTTGTTCAAATAAAAAATCTAATTCTAAAATATTTATCATTGTTTCTTGAAGATTACCTTGAATAATAGAATGTTCCTAAAGAAAAATAAACTATGATAATTGATTTTATTTTCTACTTTTTTTTTCTATACAGAAAGAAAATTAAGTTGTTTTTGTGCAAATAAATAAGATTCTTCTTGATTATTAATTGAGAGTTCTTGTTTTTTTTTTCATAAAATATTTTTGAAAGTTCTTCAAATAATTTATATGGTTGTTTGAGATGATAATCGAAAAAATAACGAAGTGTATTTATTAAATTTTCATATATATTAATTTCAATTAAAGTTTTATGATCGGAAATTTCTTTTAACATATCAGATGACATTTTTTGATGTTTGTGATATAATGGAATAATCTTGTTCTTGATCAATATTTTTGTAAATATATGTTTCTATTTGTTATAGAATAGAGATGTACAATATAAGGATATTGTATAATAGGCAATATACAAAAAAAGAATGAGATTCGTAAAAGAACACTTTCAGTGAAAATTACCCCTAACTTTTTAGAGAACCTTTAGTTGAATAATTATGCATTATTTTTTTTCAAAACAAAAGTTTTTCATATAGAATAATAATAAAGCAAGAGCTCTATGATTTATTCTGTAGGTCTTTCTATTTTCTTTGGAAAAAAAATTTTTTTCTCTAAGATGGCAGAAAGTTGGTCATTTTTATAAGTCTAGAATTTTTCCCAAACTATTAGAGAGTTAGAATGATTTTAAAAAAAAAAAAAAAGCAGCCGATTGTTAGGAAAAGTATATTGGACACACTGTTCAAATTGCAAAAAAATATCACTGTCAGTTTTGCTTTGGACTAAAAATAACAAAGAGATAACGATTGTAAAGATTTGTCCTACATTTTGTTAATATTTGGTTGCTATTCTCAAATGATTTTTTTTTATGTTAAAAAAAAGTATAACTTAATTTAAATAAGATTATCCAGTGCATTTTGTTCGGAAAGTGACACAAATCATTTTTTTAACATTTAGCTTTACTTCGTGTTCATTCAATTACGAATCAAGATATGTATTAATCAATTGTCAATAGTCCTAAATCGAATAATTCTCACCTAAATCAATATATAATTCTGGATGCCAAACTATTTCACATGTAAATGGAAGTTTTTTTTTCGATTATTAATGAATAAATATTTTCGTACGATAATTGTGTTACATCTTGTCCGTTTAAAGTAACTAAACGATCACCATCACAAATATTCATATCATACCAAATACCAATTGGATTAACATTTTTGAATAAATAAGCAAAAATTTCTTTAGTTTTTTTTCATCAAATGAATTTTGTAACATATTAATTTTATATCAGAATTTTCAAAAAATTCTCTAATCATATAAATAATAAAATATATTTTATTTTTCAATGATATACTCATTTCGATCAACTGTGATTTGTTTTTTATTTTGATCTAATGGTAATTGAAGTAGATGATTAATTTTCAATTGTACAAATACATCTAGATCAATTCAACTAAATTAATTTTCCTATTTAACAAAAAAAAAATCATACTTTCAAATTGCATTGATTATTTAACCCAAATTAATAATTCTATTTATCTAAAATAAAACATATATTTACATATACCTATAGTGATTAGCAAGTAAAAGCTGCTAGTACAATGTGTGCGGAATTGAAATATAAAATACGATGTAGCTGTGATTCTTAATCACAGATGGAATGTTTTATTCGATCTTTTTTACGAAACATTTCGTCGTCATGTTTTTACTTAATCCTCCAGAAATCCAAAAAGAAAGTACTTAAGATATTACGAAGGATGTTTGTCACATCTACAACTATAATCAATTTTTATTCGATTTTTTTTTTAATACGAGCTTCTTAGGAGAAGCACAGATCAGATTATTCGAAAAAAAAAAAGTGACGGAGTGAAAGAATCGAAATATGACGAAAACTTGTTTGAAATATTAAGTATGCTATTTCATGCAAATTTTTTCGCTGATTCTAATTATAAATTCGTATTTATGGCATTTTGCCGTCACAACAACTGCAACATTAGAAGTAATTCGACTTGTTCTATCGAGCCATGATAAAAAAAACCTGTGCTCAATATTCGATTTGCCCGGACCTTACAAAAAGAATTAATAATTCACGATATTTGGTTGATTATATTTAATTACTTGATAAGAATATCAAGAAAATATATAATAATAGTAATTATTTGTTAAAGCAAAATCATTGATTTATCGTTTATTTATATAATCACATTCAATCAGAAACATAATGATAATCTTCTACATGACGAGTACATATATAATTTCAAAATGTTAATGACAAAGATATATTGAAGCTTAATTAGTGATGTTCATAATAAAATCCAATCAAACACCATGTTTGTTTTCTGTTACTAAGGAAACACAAGAAGATTAAGTTCTATTAAATTAAAAGACTAAAAACTATAGTTTTTCTAGGCAAAAATCGATATTTCAAAAGACTCAGTCATATATAGATGTGAATTTATTTATCAAATAATCTCATACAAAACCATATTGGTGGCTAAAATATTTTGAATAGAACTACAACAACTTTTTGATAACAGAGAATAAACAGAAAGAGTTTTTATTAATGTTAAAAAACACTTCCAAGATCTAAGTGACTTCCTAACTCTTATCTTTATACTCTCTCAAAAATAGGCATATATCAGTATTGAAACTAATAATCATTTACACAACAGCTTTTCTTAACGATTGAATTCGTCTCAGACTAGAGGATGTTCTAGGACATTGGTTTGCATGACATCTAATTTACTTCATTAATCGTGATCCAATGAAGTTCTTGTCTACTAGTGAAATTTATCATCATTTTCCACTGGGATCAATAGTAGTCAGAAGAGTAGATGCCATACTAGCAACAAATGCTTCAATGCAAAAATTATTTAACTCAGTTGGATTGGCATTTATTCAAAGACGAAGACATTAATCACCAAGTCAAATTGCTAAAATAGTATTTATTTCGTTCATACAAGAAATTCAAAAACAAGTAACAACAAAAAACTTATCCTTTCTTTGTTTTCTTATTCTTTTGTTCATCTTATAGACGTCAATTTTGTATTTTATTTCATTTTTGCTAAATGAAAACACTTCATAAGACTTATTAGCAAGAATAATGTAAATTATTTTTATACAAATAGTA